GACCAGTTGGCTCACCACGAAAAATCCGCAAGAATGTGATGGAAGAGAATGTGGAAGAGGAAAGGAAAGGAGAACGCACTGCCACACTCATCGGCGGTCATCGCAGCCAAAAGAAAAAAAAGCCTGGAAACATTGGAGTAAAAAAGGAGCGGTTGAAAGGAACCACACAGAGACATAGAGTACATGATCCTTTGCGATAAGTTCAACTCCAAGGTCAAGTCAGCGAATTTACACAGCAAATCGTGATCGGGTCGCGATCGCCGAGTCACGTTTTTGCGCGCTGTCGTTCTCCAGACTCCACGACATACATTTTTCACAGTCGCGCTGAGACTGAGGTTTACCAGCTTGCCGTTCGCTCTCAGGTCCAGAGTCCTGGTTGGGTTTTTGTCTGTGGATGCCGTCTCTCTGTCACTTTGAGCGGCCTTTTCGACTCACTTCGAGTCAGAACAAACTTCAACAGACTCTGGCGCCAGGAAAATAAATTCTACCTCTACGGATTCTTCAGCGAGTGCACTGGTCCTTAACATCTCGATTGCAAATGTCTACCACTTTGGTGACGCGACAAATCGCGCTACGCCCGTTTTTTGCAATCTTTCTTGCATGGCGTATGAAAACCAATGAAAGGCTGTAGTCAGATCTGGCTCGGGCTCCATGTTCGATGTGGGTTTCAGTCCGGGCGTCTGGTCGAAGTCGCTCGGTCTAATGGCGTACAGATGCTGATGGGGCACCTTCGGATACACCCCCCTCCGCCCCCGCCTGCGGGGCTGTTTCCCTTCCTCTCCGAGCTGAAGAACAGAGGGACCCGCACGATTGTGTATCCATGGCGTCGTTTGGGAATCGGCGCTCTGCTGGGGGCGCGTTCTACGACTATACGGCGCGCTACGGCGCGGTGCGGGAGGAAGACCGTATCACGCTCAGGCAAAGCATGTTCCCCGAGACGATCGACGATCTCAAGCCTCAGACGCGCATCGCACTCGAGTCGCCGTCCACGGATTACAAGCTCTTCGAGTATCTCGTGCAGAAGATGGGTCTCGCCGAGTTGCTCGACCTGCCTCGAATCGCACTCAGCGACGGGCAGACACGGCGCGCGCGTATTCTCAAGGCACTCCTGGCCGAACCGCAACTTCTTCTTCTCGATGAGCCTCTCGTTAAGCACCTCAGTTTGCTCGTGCACGTACGCATCCTTGACGGTCCTTCTGCAGCGGGCCTGGACATCGAGAACCGCGCGACGGTACATACGATTCTGCACGATTCTGCACGAGCTCCACGCCGCATGTAACCCGCACATCATCATCGGGCTTCGCATGCAGGACACCATCCCGGACTGGATCCCCATCTCGCGGTCGTGAATGACGGGCTGGTCAAGACGGGCCCGAGGGCCGAGATGCTCCGGTACAAGGACGAGCTGCAGAGAGCGGTTAGCGCGCTCGAGAAGCCGGTACAATCTGTGGCGCCGACGCCGAGCGCTGGGGAGCCTGTGGTGGAGATGAAGGGTGTCAGCGTCACGTACTGGCCGCGAAAGATACTCGCTTCCTTCTCCGTTTGTATCTCCCTCATCTCCCCACCCAGGTCCTCAAAAACATCAATTGGACCATCCGGCAAGGCCAGCGATACCACCTCCAGTGCCGGGCATGAACGGTATGCCTCCCCCCTCCTTTCCTCCCCCTTTCTTCTTGCTAATGGCTCGCGGACATCCAGGCTCCGGAAACCACGCTCCCTTCCCTTCTGAACGGCGACCACCCCCAATCTTACACCCAGCTCGGGCCCGCACGTCAGCTCCGACTTTTTGGAACACCGTGCCAGCGCCTCGCAACGCCCCACCTCCACGCGCGCATCGGCGTCGTCACCCCCGAGCTCTTCGACGCCTTCCCGCGGCGCGCGCCGGGCATGTCCGTCTGGGAGGTCCTCGCGACGGGCTTCACCGGCGGCTTCGTCCCCCCGGGCGGCGTGGGCGCCGACTTGACCCCCGACGAGGAGGCGCACCGCGTGCAGCGCTGCTGGGCCGTCGTCGCCGCGCTCGGCCCTCCCGCGTGGGACGCTCCCTTTACCGCGGGGCACCCGCACTCCCCACCTCCACCCGCAGCTCCGCGCCTTCGCAGACACGCGCTTCCGCGACCTGCCCGTGGGGGCGCAGCGCATGGTGCTGCTGATGCGCGCGCTGGTGGGCCGTGTGTGCTCGTGCTGCTGGACGAGGTGGAGCGGGATGGACGCAAGGATGGTCGCGGCGGCGCGCGCGTATTTGCGTGGCGGGGGCGTGGGGCCGGAGCAGGCGGTGGTGGTCGTGACGCACTTGGCGGAGGAGATGCCGTGGGAGGAGCGAGACGGGGTGGTGCGCGCGGTCCTGCGGGATGGGGAGTTAGAGGGGCGGAGGCGGGGGAATGATTTGGGTAGATCGTGACGTGTCGAGAAGACATCGCGGACGAGTGCCCACCATTATACCACCTTGCGCAATCTACGGGCTGAAAACCGTCGACCGGCTTTCACGGTCGCAGCCCGACCTCACGCAGCGATTGCGCTTTCTAGCACGCATGCTGCAGAGCCTTCCCCGATATCGTCGCCCGTACCTACGCGCAAGGCTCCAACTCTACTTCAAGCCCGACGCTCCGTGAATGAGTCTTCAAAGTTCCCCTCAAGATAGACACCGATTCGAGGCGAGTCCGAGGGTTGTATTAATGCATGCGCGAATGTCATTTTTTTGGGATCGTGAGTAGGGCTGACGCCCCATTTGTTTACACTGAGGCGGTACCACAGATATGATGCTTCATAAGATTCCTTCTCCCTTACTCGTTATATCAAGCAATCTACATATCCAGCTCTACTCTGTTTCAAAAGTCCAATCGCAAATCATATCTTCCGCACACTCTCCATCTTGCAAGATAATGTCCAATCCCCTCTCCCGAAGTGTTTCGAGACCCCGAAGGATTGTTGCGCCAGGGCCGGGGCCGGAACTTACAAGCAACGCGGTCGTTTTGAGGGCGCAATGCTCCGCTTCCCAGCGAGATGTCATCAACTGCAGATACCGCTCATAATCAATGGACACCTTATCTTCGCATCCAAAAGACAGAACGCGCAGCTGCGGAGCGAGAGTCGTGCCCTCCGCGTTCGTCGATGCCATGAGAAGCGACATCAAGATGTTGGCCTGCGTGCTGGAATCGAGGTCGTCTACCGCGACTTCAAACTCGACGATCGAGGGCAGTTTTTGCAAAACTTGAGCAATGGTATCGCCGTCCGGGCAGCCCATAAAACAAAGCCGTCGCAGAGGACCCGAGAAGCGCTCGAGCGAGGGTGCGAGATGCGATTGTATAGCAGGGCCATCGTCGTTGTCGTGCATTTCAACCACGATTTCTTCCACAATGGGCAGTGTGAGGAAACGCGTGATGTCCATATGCGAGACGTATAGGCGTCGCAGACACACCAAGTCGATATTCACAACATATTCCGGCCAAGGATCGTCGTTGAAGACGATGTGGATCCGAGCCTCGACAAGGTTTGGGGTGAGCCTGAGGAATTCGTGATGCACCTTCCATGAGACACCGATGTCGTAACGGGTAAGCTGGTGCCACGGAAAATAGACTGGTATCCAACGGTGCGCGCGGCGGCCGCCGCCGCAGATCCCTGCATCGACCAAGGACGGTGCTGTCTGGAAACAATCGATCGATTCTGCGGCTGCCTGGCTCGCAGCATCGGACCACTCGATCCATACTCGTCGGAGCAGAGGAACACGGTCTCGTATACCCGCCACAAGCGGGAGAAGAGCTGTAGTCAATGCGATACTGAATCCCACCCATCGGCCTATGTGCTCCATCAAAGACTGCAGCGCCTCCACTTGCGGCCAAGAGTCCGATGTCTGACATCCATAGAGATGAACATCCAACTTCGTGGCACGCGCAATCTGGGTCTTGAGCGCAGACAATGGATAAGACGATGCCGGATTTGCCACGGGATCGTAATTGAGGGCGAAAAGGGACCACAACGACGGGGTCGAAGTCGCAACTGCCCGCCAATGTCGACTGATGTGCGTCAAGACCCATGGGCTGTCCAGCGGGCGGAAACTACAACGGCTGAAGTCCGCCGGCCGCTGGAGTGTCCACGAGAATATTTCTCCGAGTACCTCAGGCGGCAGCCTACGGAGTGCCGAGAGGATCGCGAGGTTCTGAGTACGGGAGTTCCACAGCGATAACTGGTCCTCCTCCAACTCTGTGGCAGCACATGGCGTGGCACTGGTTTGCTTTGTTTCGTGAGCCAAACACTTCAAGCGCACATCGATCTGCGAAATCACAGACTTGATGAATGTGATGTCAGAATCGAGAGGCGCTACATTGGAGGTCAAGAGCTTGTGGTGTCGCGTTCCAGGAGCAGCATATAGTTGCCTCATGATATCGCAATCGCTCTGGAGTTTGGAGACTCGCCATAAGCACTCATACGACTTGGAACTTGTAAAGCACTACTTACATTGGAAAGGTGTGCACTACTTGCCTTGGAAAGGTGCGATGTGCGAGTTCCAGTTACAGACAGAGAGAGCGGGCTGGGAGGCACGGTGATGTGATCCAAGAAGAAACAACGCGCAGAACAAAAACCGAAAGGACGGAAGCAGGAAGAGAAAACTTACGGCAGTGATGCTATCAATGATGGGCAAGTAGGCACGTTCTAAGTTTTAACAAGGCCTAAAGTTCGTCTAGCTTACTGACTTGGTGTACTCGGGAAAAAGTCCAGGCAAGTGCGCATGGAAAAGCAAGGCCAGCTTGAGGCAGAGTTCAAGATGAGTTAATTGCGGACAAGTGCGGGAAGCTGAGCGTGTATGATGGTACATGCTAACGGACTTGATAATATCGGCCGCCTGGCGAAATGGCATCGCGTCTGAGTACGAGTTAATTACGTAATTTGGCTGAAGGACAGAGGGAAGAGGGATGGAGTGAATCAAAGAGAGGGAGCAAGTGGTTGAGCATATCTTCAACCACAATATTGTTGTGGTGGCTCTATAGTGATGGCAACCAAACATCGGCCGCCTGGCGAAATGGCATCGCGTCTGACTACGAGTTAATTACGTAGTGTTACGTAATCGGGCATCAGGAGATTGCAGGTTCGACCCCTGCGGTGGTCAACTCTTTTGCCATTTTACGGCCTCTGCGAACTTTGTTTATTACCCTTTTTCTGCGCCCGTAAGGTGCAGAACAGCCGGGGAAAAAAATCGGCCAAAAACGACTAAGTCGAAAGGGGGAATGGACTTGTGATTTTTTTCCTGAGCGGTATGGCCCTTTGACCTAGACTTGATGAGCATTGTGTCCCTTACTTTGATTTGTTCAAGTGTCGATTCTGTTTTGTAAAACTGAGTACCGAGACAGACCGATGCCTGCAGGCATCTGCGATTCGAAGTGCCGCATTGGGAAAATCTCCTTTTTGAACGTCCAGTACCGACATGAACCGAGGCTTATCTTTATCGGCCTGGGTCACAGTATCGGATCCTCCCACCAGCCCCGGTGTTTCGCGTTCATATGTCGCCGGTGTTCAAAAAGACCACCAAGGTTGAACCGCAGATAAGCTTTTGGCGCGATATGATAGGCATTAGGCAGCGATCCTTGAGTGTCGGATCCAGACTGGGCTATTTGGATGTCAGATGTATGAGGGTTGAAACATATACACAGAGATAGACAGACTCGAGCGTTGCATAATTCTGTGGAGGATGCCAGTGACCGGTCGGAACTTGAGCCTGAAATTTCGAACGCCGGTTTCAGCGTGTTTTAAATGAGGTTGCATTCGCATGGTCACCTGGAAGGCTCTCGCTCGGCATAGGCCGAGGTGTCGCCACAGATTCGAGATCTTCACTCGGTATTCGGAGCGAAGAGACCACCTGAGCATTGCACCTGAGGTTACTTTTAAATGGGCCGTGGCACATGAGTTGTCAAAGCAATTCCCGCTCTGGTGCATAGATCCACAAAGATGCAGAGACTCTCCGGGGGAAACAGACGGCTACCATGCGCGGATAAGACTTCGATACAATCGATATGCAAGGGGAGAGCACCTTGCTTTTTTTTTTTGAACGCCGAGACTCGGACGGGGCCGTTAGAGTCGAAACTCATGAAACCGAGTATCAGTCGTGGTCCCTCCAAGTACCGGTGCGCAAGGCCGTTGTTATGTTCAGTCGCGTCTTGGTTAACATGTGGATAAACCGTAGTCTCTTATAAACAGACGCTACAACAAAATGAGCTCGTACCTCGCTTGTTGTAGATAAACCGTGGCCACCGGTGAACAAGTTCTGCACATAAAACGTCCAAGTTGAACGTCGGAAATTTGGTCATAGTTGTGGAGATGAATTGCGAGGTACGAGCAACTCGCTGTCCCATTGGGAGGCCGTGGTCGTTGAACCCGGTGGCAGCTTGTCTGGTTGTTTCATGTCAGCGCAGTCCATAGGTTGGGAACTTGACGTCGGGCTTGGAGTCGGAAGGACATTGCATCAGAATTAAAACGTTGAACCGTTGAACCCCAGATATTCGGACAGAGAGGGCCAGGGCAATTTAATTAGTCTTATGCCTCACCGAAACGCTGTGTGACTCCATGCAAAGTAAATTTCGTCGTCAGTCCAGGCACGAGTTCAACGCCTCTTGTTTTGAATTCGCATCTTTTCCGGGCACGGAGCGTCCCGATGTTGTGATACAGTAGGAAAAGTGGGTTAGCACGGTAATCAGATCGCTGGCAGTGCGATGAAACAAAGGATCAGGAACTCGTGATTGAGTGCGTCTGGTCCATTTAGGAGGCAGGATGATAAAAGTATAGAGGTGTCGCTGGCAAAAAAAACTTGTGTCGCGTCACCATCGCACTTGAAAAGATCGAAGATGCAATCACAAAGCAAGATTACTTTTCGCTCTTGGGCTGGAGCGCGTGTTGCAACATTGACAGATTGGCTGGATTGAGTGTTGCCGTTTAGTATGTCGATGAGGAGAAGTAAGACTGCAGCTGCGCAGTAAATTCTCCTGTCACGCTGCAGCCGTTCGGTTGCACTGATGCAAGTTGGATGGTTGGAAGCCGCTCGGACGCAGATGGCCGGGTCAAACTGTAAAAATGTTCTCGCATAATTACCGCAGACGGATTATCGCTGCAGATGAAACTATTATGTGTGCGGCACGAGTAGGGAGGGTGGAGGTGCCGGTGAATATTCAAAAGTGGAGTTGCGCGGTTGGTGTCGTACAGGTGGGTCCAGGTTCGGTCATAGCCATGGGGACAGATAGCAAGGCAGAGACAGACAAATGCCGGTCTCCGTGCGGCGAGGTCATAATTTCGCTACATGGCTCCAGTTGCGCCCAAACACCCGCTGGTGAGAATTTGGAGTTCGCGGTGGGAGATCGATATCCGAGTTGGATCCGACGGTGAAACCCGGTACTCAAATTTCGGGACGTGCTGCGCTTCTCTAGAGAACCGAGTTTCAACCAAGTCCTTGGTGGCGTATCGCCATCCAACAAGAACTGCCACAGCCTTCGCTCAGGCACAGCGTCTATTCCGCATTCGCGCTATTGCTATCCCGGGCTAGATCATGACGAGCGTCCAGGTGCTGATAGACACCGTGATAAAGTGTGGGTGCGAGTGAGCAAGTAGCGGGAGGAGAACGGCGATTAGATTCGGCGTGGGTTCGGCGTGGGCTTGGGTCGTGTTCCAGGTGTTGGATGAAACGAAGAATCGTGATGGCGGGATACGAAGGAGAGATAACAGTACAGTAGGATTAGGAAGGAGAAAGGAGACGTACGTCGTCGCTCAGTGAAAAGATCGAAGATGCAATCACCGTTCAAAACTGTTGTGGGCCTGGCAGTGGGACTTCTTGCATGGACAGAAGACTCGGATCGGTTTCTCCACATTCGGCTGCTCCAGCTGCAGCGTTTTCAATTTCGGACTATAAGAAAAAAAACCTGCATTCACCCGAGTCGTATAAATCCAGGCGGGCTTGCATCACATGAGCTTCAACCCAAGCCCAAGATATGCTGGTCCATTTCAGAGCTGGGTTGAGTTGCGCTGATGAAACAGCGAAACAACGATGTCGAGTCTGAGATGATTTTGGGCGGGCCTGGGGGTGAGGAATTAAACAAATAAAAGCTCGAGATGGCTCCTCCGGATTTGGTGATACCGAACCCCGATTCAGGTTCAGAGTCGGATGGACCGTCCGACGTGCCCATGCGCATGTGCACGTCACCAGCATGTGCCCCGGAAGCAGGAAGCACACCTCGGAATCACAGGCGGGAATCGCGGTTTCGCTATATAGGCTATAGGCTGTTGAAATCTGCTGCGATTATATTGGTTGAATTCCCCAACAGTCGTGATCTGTCATGCCAACACCGCAAACTCGGAGAAGGCGACTGGTCCGTTCGAAAAACAAGGTGTGCGAAAAGGTGAAGCCGATTTCGACGCAAGGACCGAGGACTTGCGGGTGCGGTTGGCGGTTGAATTTCGCCCGGCTCGAGGCGTGGGATTCAATGCGCCTGGGAAGCTTGCATTCAAAACCTTGGGACCTCGAACTAGCCCGGCCCGGCATCGACTCGAGGACTTGAGTGGCCGACTCCCGGGCTAGGGAGCGTACGACTCGTATTTCGTATTTGGGAAGACGTGCATGCGTAAGGGAGATAAGATTATACGAGCACCGGCAAATTTGACAAAGCGCCTGCGGGGATTCGGCGAGAGATGCCGTTGGTAATGAGAGCGGTATCGCAGGACAGATATTGTGGGCGCGTTTGGAAGCCGTCCAGTGAGATGTGAAGTATCGCCAGCGCCAAGTCCGAGTCGGAGAATTGGGATTCGGGCGTGCCGAAGGCGAGAGAGACGGGTTCACTTGCGCAAATTCCGAGGGCCAGACAAGGGCCAGACATAAGCCGTAGCGCGTGCTCGAAGGCGGACGAGCACGGGTAACCCACGACGCAGGAACTCAGAAACCATATCGAGCGATGTCGGCGTGTGCGGCGCGGACCTCGGGGGTGGGCGCCTGGGGTACGTATCGCCGTGTTGGCACTACCCATATGCATATTGACAGCATGAGTATTGAACTAACCTGAGAGAGCTGCGTGAGCGCAAGTCCAGTGGCACTTCGTTTTGATCTGGAGAAAAGCGGCAGGGGCATGGAAATGTGGGGTGTTGGGATGCGCTTGAAAGCTCAGGGTGGAGAGAAGCTTGGAGATACTGAGCACGAATGCAGACGCGGACGAGAACGGTCAACCCAGCTTTCAGGAACTAGGAAGCCGTATTGAGCGGTGTCGGCGCGTGAGACCGTGACGCCGGGTGCTCTTTGGGCGGAGGGCCTTGTTTGCTGGCCGCACGGGACGAAGAGAGGTGCATGAACCGGTGCTGCGGAGCGTGTGTGCAAGTCGGGCGTATGTGATTTCGAGTGGAAGAGAACGGCGTGCACAAAACAACGGCCGGATGATAGTTTTGTTGGGATCGGAATGCAGACGCAGGCCGGAGAATTACTGTATATGTAGGACAGAGAGAGGGAGAGAACCAGTCGGGACGCGAAGAAACGAGACAGCCACAGATCACAGATCGCAGAGCAGCCTCGGACAAGAAGATCGGGAACTCCAGGATTTGCCGGTTGAGGTGGGTGTGCGTTGAGCTGACGGGGGGATGATGTACATATATCGGGAACAGGGCTTGAAAGCTGAGGAGGGTGCAAAAATGCCGGTCTGCAAGGGGAACGTGCCGATAGCCAAGAACTTGGAAGAGAGAGGGGACAAGAAAGCCGGAGTCTCTTTGGATGTAGATGATCTAGTCGGAGCGAGCGCGAAGGCGGCCTAGTAGGGCATATTAGACGCGGAGGTTGGACGTTGGACTAGGCACGAGACCTAGAACTTAGACGACCCCGGGAATGCTGTCACCTTCCCCGGGCCTTTCGAGCCTATCGAGGTCGCGTCGCGTTCAAACTTCACTGGGTCGGCGCGGGGAGACCGGGGCTTGGCGTGGACATCTGGGCTCAGCGCTCAGCTTTTGGCGTTGAAAGTTACGCAGCAAGGTGAACCCGGTGCTGCTGCGCAGCGTGTCGTCCTCCTGGAGCCTGGGTGTCGAATATCCAGGAAAACCGGGCAAACGGACGGAGACACGAAGCGTCAAGGGTCGTCGACGCATTTTCTTGCT